TTTAATTTTCACATTACGTTGGGAGGAAAACCTAACATATCAGTAGTACAGTATATAACAATTATATAACTTACCCTCGAGTTTATTACAAGACCGGAAAAATATTTAAACAGGTTAAGGTAAGGCGCTGGAAATATTAAAACTGGTGAACGAAGCGAGAACCTTAATACTGTAACACAATAAAGAAAAAAAAATACGAAAATAAATAAACCTAATTTAGCGAACGAAAACTTTAGAGAAACACAAAGAGAAAGAAATTCGTGGAGGAAGAATTACAATACGGAATAATTATTACTTAAGAGGTCGAGATAAAATGAGAAACAAGAGGAACTATCATTACAAGGACACAGCTGCCTAGGTCACATGGCCATAGCTGCCCCAGACACAAGGATACAGCTGCCTAGGACATATGGACACAGCTGCCTAGGTCACATGGCCATAGCTGCCTCGGACACAAGGATACAGCTGCCTAGGACACATGGCCATAGCTGCCTCGGACACAAGGATACAGCTGCCTAGGACATATGGATACAGCTGCCTAGGTCACATGACCATAGCCACACACCTCCGGACACAAGGATACAGCTGCCCCTAGGACACATAGCCATAGCTGCCTGGACACAGGATGCAACTGCCTGGGACCACATGGCCATAGCTGCCTAGGTCACATGTGCATAGCTGCCCTCGAGACCTAAGATTTAGCCTGCCTGGGACATATGCACTTTAGAGACACAAGGATACAGCTGCCTGAGACACATGTGTGCCTTTGCCTGGGTGCATAGCCATAGCTGCCTCAGACACAGGATACATGGCTGCCTGGACACATGGCCACCTTGCCTGTGACATGGCCGCAGCACCTGGGACACAAGGATACAACTGCCTGGGACACATGGACACAGCTGTGAGACATATGGAAACAGCTGCCTATGACATTTGCATGCACGCTGCCTGGGACACAGAGTGTCTGGCTGCCCCCTGGGGACAGCACAAGGGATGCAGCTGCCTGGGACACAGGGATACAGCTGCCTGGGGACACAGGGATACAGCTGCCTGGGACACAGGATGCAGCTGTGGCCATAGCTGCCTCGGACACAAGGATACAGCTGCCTAGGACACAAGGATACAGCTGCCTAGGACACAAGGATACAGCTGCCTAGGACACAAACAAAATAGAAGAATGAATGAATGCAATATGTCAGGAAATAAGTGAAAACAGAAGGAAAAAAAGCTTAGTTACCACAAAGTTAAAGCGTATTTAAGTGTATGGACTCTTGGCTTTTAAGATAATATGATTTACGTGTTATGATCATCGAGAGGTGTAAATGTAAATATTATTGTAAAATGATAAATATGCCAACTCTATAAACGTCACCCAGCAAACACCATGAAGTAGATGTAACGCAGCAAACGTCACCCAGCAAACACATTCCAGCAAACACCACAGAACAAACACCACGTAGCAAACACTATCCAGAAAATACTACAGAACAAACACCACGTAGCAAACACCATCCAGCAAACACCACGTAGCAAACACTATCCAGAAAATACCACAGAACAAACACCACATAGCAAACACCATCCAGCAAACAAATACCACCCAGCAAATAAACACCAGCCAGCAAACAAACACCACATAAGAAACACCATCCAGCAAACACCAGCCAGTAGATACCATAGAACAAACACCATCCAGCAAACACATTCCAGCAAACAACACAGAACAAACACCATCCAGCAAACACCACTCAATAAGCACCACCAAGGAATCAAATATTTTAACTGTATATAAAAATAAGATTCTTTAGCGGAAAAATACAGTAGCATTTTGTAAACAGAATAAAATATCATATATTTTGTAATGTTATAAGAAGGTAATATAATGTATTAAGTATTTTGCAGTACAGGGAATTATGTATTATGTATTTCAAAGTATATTACAAAATTATATAAATTAATACAGTATAGAGCAGGAATACCAAATAGGAGGGTGTTAAGATAGTGAGACAAACCCGGGTACAGTATGATTATGTATCAAGTGGTCATGTATGAATACAGAAAGAGTAAATAAGAGATATGGTTATCCTTAAGGTGTACTGGGGCTTTATTTAACCCTTTGAGGACAATGGTTTAACCCTTTGAGGACAATGGTTTAACCCTTTGAGGACAATGGTTTAACCCTTTCAGGACGATGGTTTAACCCTTTGAGGACGATAGTTTAACCCTTTTAGGACGATTATTTAACCCTTTGAGGAGGATGGTTTAACCTTTTGAGGACAATGGTTTAACCCTTTGAGGACGATGGTTTAACCCTTTAGGGACGCCGATTAAACCCTTTGAAAACAACGATTTAAAACTTTGAGAACGACGATTTAACTCTTTGAGGACGACGATTTAACCCTTTGAGGACGACGATTTGACCCTTTGAGAACGACGATTTAACCCTTTGAGTACTAGGAGTTAACCCCTCTGATGACAATGGTGTAACCCTTTCAGGACGATAGTTTACCCCTTTGAGAACGACGATTTAACCCTTTGAGTACTAGGAGTTCACCCCTCTGATGACGATGGTTTAACCCTTTGAGGATGACGATTTAACTCTCCAGAACTCGATGGGTTAAAACGCCTCTGTGACATGAAATATGATGAGGTAAATTTTCTATACAACTTTATATACTTTTGTGGTAATATAATATAAAACAGACCTATAATTCCCTATAGCAAAACTCATATAATCAAAACCAGCTTCTCATCTCCCATTAGTACGATATAATTCCTATATAATCCCAATAATACTCTTATCTGAATTATTGAATCTATAATGGTAATATCTCCTCTATATAAAGCTGTGTATAGAAGGTGAGGTGTATTCCTGCGTATTTTTTTTATAAACGTGTGTATTAGTTATCATATAGTAAGGAGGGTAATATTTTGTATAGCATGGTAAATAGTGAAGTAATATAGGAATGATAATATTTTTATGTAGTGGAGAATATCGTAAGTTTATGTAGAAGAAGACGTGATATGATTTAGTAGACGGGTAATAATTATGTAACAGAATAGAAAGAAAGAATATCATGGTGTAGAACAGGATATAACACGTATGAGTTTCGATATTACCATGATACTATGATACTAACTAGACACGGAAACAGTGAGTGCACCGTCAAGACAACACGACTATTACACAACACATTCTAGCAGACAGAATATCACGTAACTATCATGAAAGTAAGAGGTGGGGGGGAGGAGGGGGATATTCTCTGTAGGGAATTAAATACCAGGATGTCAAAGGAAAGAGGAATTTAATCTTCTGAACGTGGGGAATACAATAAGATTATTATTGTATATATTCAAGAATATCTTATGTGTGGCTGCCTGGGTCAATGTCATTAGTCCAAGTCAGTTTATGTGTAGAAATTAAAATTCTCACAAATTAAAAAAACAATAAGATAGTATATGGAAATGAGTAAATAAATAAATAAATAAATAAATAAATAAAGTAAAAATACGTAAGAACATGAAAAAAAATACACGAAAAATATTCCTCCCCAAAAATAAAGCATTAACCCACAAAGTGTCAAAGATATTACGAGTTTCTAAAAGTTTTTCTCGTATATCTGACCTAAGACAATATTACGCTAACGAAAGATAAGAGAGAGAGAGAGAGATAAAGCTGATAATAGAGTAGATAGGATAATAGTGTGTGAGACGGAGACAGTGGATATTTGTTAATACTGTAATACAAAATAGGAGAAAATGGGAGAAAATAGGAGGAAAATAGGAGGAAATAGGGGAAAATAGGAGGAAATAGGGGAAAATAGGAGGAAATAGGGGAAAATAGGAAGAAATAGGGGAAAATAGGAGGAAATAGGGGAAAATAGGAGGAAATAGGGGAAATAGGAGGAAATAGGAGGAAATAGGAGGAAATAGGGGAAAATAGGAGGAAATAGGAGGAAATAGGAGGAAATATTACAGAGGAGAAGTAAAAATAATATTATGTATATCATTTAGACTTAATGGTGTACACAGGCGGATATTACCACAGGGTCGACTAATTATGTAGTGGTATTCTTACGTTATTGATCAAACTGAATCATCATCTAACTAAATTATGTTACGTAACGAGATTCAGTGTTCTTATGTAGGTCATATTTTATGGTATGGTACTTGTTATGTAGTGGCATAATTTTGTAGCGAAATTATTGTGTGGAGAAGTTATTATGTAGAGAAGTTACTATGTAGAGTTATTATGCAGTGAAGTTATTTTGTAGAGAGTTATTATACAGCAAAGTTATTATGTAGCATTTATTACGTAGATAAATCACCGTATTGTTGATAAGGTTATTTAACGAAGATTATATCACGTAACGAAATTATAACGCACCAAGGTAATGATTTCTGTCTTTGTTATTGTTGTAAAAAAGGAACCAAAAGCACAACACAGGAATGACTACAGTACGTTCACACAGACAACACACACAGGTAAGGAGAATAGGAGGGTGTGTGTTGGTAAGTTGGCTTAGTAAACACAGAGACACACACAGACGAGTCTAGGTACTGGCTAAGCTTGTTTGTGTTTAACTACCAAAGCACCAGTACCAACACACACACACACACACACTTAGCCAAAATATGGTTTCATGTTCTTCTTCTTCTTGAGTCACACTACCAGCTTCTCACCACCACCATCATCTACCACTATTTGTAAGAGGGCGGTGCTGGGTAGTAGGAATAGTGGTAGGTTTTCGCTATTTTTCTTATACACTTATTGGTTTTAAAACTTCAATTCATCGGTTGACACAATCTTCCTCACACCAGTAGCTATTAATGGTCTTGTTCTTTATTAAACACCTTTAATTACTTTTTTGTTTCCTTGCTGCAGATTTCAAGTGTTGTCACCTCAATACTTATAAAAATTCACGATAATCATCTTATCTATATTACTTCAATTATCTTTTTTTTCCCCTCATCACATATGCAAATGGGATGGTAATTACCTCAGCACTAATTCACTTAATCTTCGTCCCGTGTGGGTACAAGAGTGTCCTGACATGAGGCGCGCGAGTGTGTGTGTGTGTATGTGTGTATGTATGTGTGTGTGTGGAGGACGTACAGTAAAGCGTGGTGTGGTGGTCGGCCGGCAGCTCTGACTCTCTTGCCCCGGCTGCCACGCACACGATCAACGGACTGGCCGGGAGGTCGTGGCCGAGCTGCTGCTGCTGGTGGTGGTGGTGGTGGTGGTGAGGGAGCACGCCCGGAAAGCAGAGGCACCAGCATCCACCACCACTATTCCACCACCACTACTCCACACCCCTACTCCATCCCCCCCCCCAATCACCAACCATTAACCATCATTTGTACTTATTAATGCAAGTGTTATTTTATAATAGTTATGAATATCACTTAACATCCCTAATCACTGTTCTCGTTCATTGCCACCACTACTACCACCCATACCAAGCACCACTACCACCACCCATACCAAGCACCCACCCCCCCACCACTGCCATGTATACGCCACACTAAGCGAGGAGATACGCCCATGCAGGTCTGATCCCTTCCCACTTATACCACGCCTCCTCCACCACACACCCTCCGCCACCAAACATCCTCCACCACACATCCTCCACCACACACCCTCCACCAAACATCCTCCACCAAACATCCTCCACCAAACATCCTCCACCAAACATCCTCCACACAAACATCCTCCCACCAAACATCCTCCACAAACATCCTCCACCAAACATCCTCCACCAAACATCCTCCACTACACACCCTCACCAAACACCCTCCACCAAACATCCTCCACCAAACATTCCTGCAAACACCCTCCACCAAGCTTACCCTCCACCAAACACCCTCCACCGACATCCTCCACCAAACATCCTCCACCAAAACATCCTCCACAAACATCCTCCACTACACCCTCCACTACACACCCCTCCACCAAACGCCCCACCCTCCCTACACACATCCCTCACAAACACCCTCCACCAAACACCCCTCCACTACATCCTCCACAAACATTCTCCACAAACATCCTCCACCACACACCCTCCTGAAGCTTATCCTCCACCACACATCCTCCACCCACCACCCTCCCACCACACCCCTCCCACCAAGCTTACCCCTCCACCAAGCTTACCCTCCACCAAACACCCCTCCCACCAAACATCCTCCACAAAGCTTACCCTCCACCAAAACACCCTCCCACCAAACACCCTCCATCAAGCTTCCCTCCCACCAAACACCCCTCCACCAAACACCTTCCTGACTTCTGCTCCATCAACACCCTCCACCAAAACACCCCTCCACCAAACACCTTCCACAAAGCACCCTCCACAAACACCCTCCACCAAACACCCTCCACCAAACACCCTCCACCAAACACCCTCCACCAAACACCCTCCACCAAACACCCTCCACCAAACACTCTCCACCATCTTACAACGAAAAACTTTATAACATTAAGGACTAACAACCTTACCCAAACTACTGAATCACATCTTACCAAACAAGCAAGAAACATTATATCACCTACAATAAACTACCTGTATAAATCGTATGTGTATGTCTGTGTGTGTCTGTATCTGTGTGTATGTCTGTGTGTGTGTGTGTGTGTGTGTGTGTGTGTTATTTCTCTCTCTAATACGTCTCTTATTCCTCCTCCTCGTGTTATTTCTCTCATGTATATAACTTCTCCCATGCGCCCAGAAAGTCATACAGTACTTCTCACTTCCGGAGTTTTTTCCTATCGTGAAACTTTTGGCTGGGTTGAGGGTGAAGGAGGAGGCTCAGCTGATACTAAATATTAATACAAATACAATTACATATAAGAATAAAGATGTAAACAAAAAACATTAACAAAAAAATTTAACAAAAACAAAAACAACAAAAAATTAACAAAAACATAAAAACAAACAAAATTAATAACAAAAACATAAACAAGAAATTAACAAAAACATAAAAGCAAACAAAAAACTACCAAAAAAAAAAATCTACAAAACTTCAACAAAACATAAACATAGGTTACGTTAATTTAATCATCAGGTTAATTCTTGAGGTCAACCCAAACAACTAAATCAAACTCAAACAGGTAAATCATAATTACAGGTAAACTAAAACAAAACAAGACGCCGGGCTAGTTAGGGGAGTGTCACCAGCTGTTGTATTCTAGAGGTGGTGACGGGCGGGTGGGCGGGCGGAATTGGGCGGACGGGCACAGGTGGTGATAATGGTGGAGGAGATTATGAACCTAGAACACCTGGCCGTAGATCAAAGGTTAATTAGGACCTTACCTCACCTTTGTCTCTGAGGTGGGTGAGCTTCCTTTTGTGGGAGAGAGAGAGAGAGAGAGAGATACCGTCACACACACACACAAACTCTTCATCCTCTTCTTTGTCTTGAGCGGATTCATAGACGATGAAAACTGAAAACCAAATCCAGAAATGAAACCGAAACTGGATCCATTTTTTTTTTACTTTTTATTTTACTGGTTAAGTTAGGTTAAGTTTTCCAATAGGACTAGTTAGGTTAGGTTAAGTTTTCCAATAGGACTAGTTAGGTTAGGTTAAGTTTTCCAATAGGACTAGTTACGCTGTGTGTTTAAGCTCAAGGAAACCTCTGGGGCTATTCCTAGACCGGCGACATCTGAGCTTTGTCGTTGGGGAGGAGAAGAAATACGACCTGAAATATTTATGGCGGGAGAAATGTTGACTCGACACGACAACCTCCCGTATATAACTTAACAAAAAACCTGACTGATCCAGACTGGTGGTAATAAGTTCTTTAATAAACTATTCTTCTATCCAACACCATGACTATTCTTCTATCCAACACCATGACTATTCTTCTATCCAACACCATGATAACTATTCTTCTATCCAACACCATGATAACTATTCTTCTATCCAACACCATGACTATTCTTCTATCCAACACCATGACTATTCTTCTATCCAACACCATGACTATTCTTCTATCCAACACCATGATAACTATTCTTCTATCCAACACCATGACTATTCTTCTCTCAAACACCATGACAACTATTCTTCTATCCAACACCATGATAATTATTCTTCTATCCAACACCATGACAACTATTCTTCTATCCAACACCATGATAACTATTCTTCTATCCAACACCATGACTATTCTTCTCTCAAACATCATGATAACTATTCTTCTATCCAACACCATGATAACTATTCTTCTATCCAACACCATGACTATTCTTCTATCCAACACCATGATAACTATTCTTCTATCCAACACCATGACTATTCTTCTCTCAAACATCATGATAACTATTCTTCTATCCAACACCATGATAACTATTCTTCTATCCAACACCATGACTATTCTTCTCTCAAACATCATGACAACTATTCTTCTATCCAACACCATGATAACTATTCTTCTATCAAACACCGTGACAATTCTTCTATCCAACACCATGACTATTCTTCTATCCAACACCATGATAACTATTCTTCTATCCAGCACCATGACTATTCTTCTATCCAACACCATGATAACTATTCTTCTATCCAACACCATGATAACTATTCTTCTATCAAACACCGTGACAATTCTTCTATCCAACACCATGACTATTCTTCTATCCAACACCATGATAACTATTCTTCTATCCAACACCATGACTATTCTTCTCTCAAACATCATGACAACTATTCTTCTATCCAACACCATGACTATTCTTCTCTCAAACACCATGACAACTATCCTTCTATCCAACACCATGACAACTATTCTTCTATCCAGCACCATGATAACTATTCTTCTATCCAACACCATAACAACTATTCTTCTATCCAGCACCATGATAACTATTCTTCTATCCAACACCATAACAACTATTCTTCTATCCAACACCATGACTACGATAACTTAGTGATAGTCTTCTGTCTTTCCATCTATCCTGGCATAATTTCAGAGCCTCCTCTTTAACCTCCACCATCACTAAAGGAATATAATAACCTCACATACCTCCAATTCTCTCCCATTACCTCACGCTCTGACCTCCTCGAGACCTCTACCCTCTTGCTAATCAAACTTCCTCTACAGTCTAACTCAAAACTGGGAGTAAATTTCATCACACACACACACGCACACACACACACACACACACACACACACACACACACACACACACACACACACACACACACAGGGAAGTTTCCTAAGGCTCTGTGTGTCTGTTAATTGTTTTACACTAACTAGGGAAGGAGGACGCTGCTATCTGGGTCATCAAAACTACGACACAAAGAAGTTGGGAAATTGCCGTCGACATTTAAATTAGACTTGACCACAACTAAACACACCCTCCCACACAGAGGAACTTTAAATTGTGAAATCTTCCGAATCCAGAGACAGAATTTGCTCTACCCTTCACCCGCTGATCATACGTCACATCATTAAATTCCCACTAAAAATATGGAAAATAAATACCAAAGATTAAAAAAAAAATTAAATTAATTCCATTTGTTGTCACAGCATGGGATGAATGTCCTCAGTCTACACCACAGGCTGGGAATGATAGAATTTAACAACGATATACATTTCACCAAAGCAGGAAAGGTGTGGCAAAAGGAAAGGTGTGGCAAAAGGAAAGGTGTGGCAAAAGGAAAGATGTGGCAGCAGGAAAGGTGTGGCAACAGAAAAGTTGAGGCAACAGGAAAGGTGTGGCAACAGAAAAGGTGTGGCAACAAGCATTTTCTGCCACAAGTAGAAGTTTCAAGTCATGTTTGTGTTGTACCAGAGAGCGAGCCTTGGGTCTGGTTAGGTTAGGTTAAGTTATCCTTGTTGACGAGATATAACGGTGGGAGGCATTACTGACTGAGCTGGTCCTGAGGCCTCTGGCTCAAGGCGTGTTTGTTTTGGTGTAAGAACCCTTACAGAGGTCCTCTACAGCCCTTCCCTGCCCTTCCCTGCCCTTCCCTGCCCTGCCCTTCCCTGCCCTGTCCTACCCTTCCCTTCCCTGCCCTGTCCAGCCCTCCAACTAGTGTCCCAATACTAACTTCCCCCCCCTAACTAGAAATCTTTAAACGTATCTAATTAACTAACTTAACCTACAGCCAAAGGTCTCAACAACATTGGTCTTTAGCCTTTATGAGTCCAGTCTAGTGTTGTTGTGGCCTTAATTTAGGAATGAAAAATTAACGTACGAGTCATGGTA